GAAAATAAGTAACTAACAGCATACTATGCATATACACATCATGATTTTATGTATTGTAGAGCACAAGTACAACGTTATACAACTTATAGGACTGCATCTGAATTGAAATTTGATCCAGAAGACGATCTGATTTTGAACTGACTATAATTGGATTGAATATGGGTCCACTCTAATATGATATGATATGATCCAATGATATTTAATTATATATGCTTATATCTACACTAAATTAATTTGAATATTATATGATTACTAAAATTCATAGGACCAAGTCTTATAAGAGTTATTATTTTTAAGTCATTTTATTCATGATATGCAATTTTTATTTTAATTTGTTAATGGTATTCAATGCCTGATTTCGATTCAAGTCCAATCTGAATCCAACAGATAAAAATCAATTCAAACCTGAATATTAACAAATCAAAAATTGGATTTAGGCACATCCTATTCCATCAATTCATTTGCAGTTCCAACTTCCAACAGCTTATGATAAGGTGCCTGCCTTATCCCTTATCAAGTATGTGCAACACCTAGGTTTCTTCAAAAAAACAAAAAAAACAAAAGAAAAATAAGACATGATAAATGTTCTCTGTAGAAAATGCCTTGTTACCTAGGTTGTGCATTGATAGCTAAGCTCTGTCTTTCTCTTTCTGTAAAGAAACAACAAAGATCATTGCTCTCTGTCTCAGCCTATCCAGCATTCCTTTTATATTTGCAACATAGTGACTGTATACTAATTATCTTATATACATATTTTCTTGCACATTTATGGTCTTTCTCAAATTCTATATGAGATTGCATTACCATCTTAAATTTAAAACTTTTTTTATTTTTTGTTGCTCGACTAGTCAATACTTATTCACCAACTGTTACTTTTTTTTTGATAACTGAGAAAAAAATTTATTAATAATAAGAAAGGAAACATAAAACATAAAAAAAAGCACCAATACAGGCCGATACGCCCTGTGTTGATACTTTGAACCTTGTGTGTATATACTAATTTCTTCTTTTTCTTCCACCTTTTGTTTTCTTCTTTTCCTATAACAGAAATAGGGGTTCAGCCCCTATATTTTTTGAATTTTCTTTTCTATCTTTTTCTTCTCATGAATATGTTGGAATATGTTGATTTTCTTATGAAAAATATGGATATTTGTTGAGGAGATATGATTACGGAACCTAGGGAACTACCCTAGGGTATATGTTTTTACTTAAAAAAATCCATCGCCTAGGCGACAAGGCACCCCCCTGTTGCCTAGCCTCGCCTTGCTGCCTTGAAAACTATGATTGGCCCCTGCGCCTTTTTTGCGCCTTGCGCTTTTAAAACACTGGATGAGTTTGTTTTCCACTTATTAATTTCCTGCCGATTTGCAAAAAGTATTTGGGAATGGTTTACTTTTTTGTTTGGGTGCAGATGGAATCCCCATCTGAATGTGCAAAGCTTATTTGCCTCTTCTTCCTTCTGCTGGCAACCGAAAAGAGGAAGGATTATGTGGAGATGTGTTAGGGCTGCTGTCTGCTGGTCTATATGGGAGGAAAGAAATTCAGGAACATTTTCTGAGAAAGAGAGAAGTTTAGATAATGTGATGGAAATTATCCATGTAAAGGTAATGCATTGGTTGAAATCTTTAGAGTTGTTTGCAGACTTCTCAGTGGATGATTTGCTTAGAAACTGGAAGGAAATTGTGAATTCAGTCCCTGTTAAGATGACCTCGAGTCCCTTATGGAATCCTCCCCCTCTTGGCTTCATCAAGCTGAATTTTGATGGTAGCAGTTTGGGAAATCCAGGGCCTTTTGGCATTGGGGGAGTTCTAAGGAATGAGCAAGGGAATGTAATAGCCATGTTTTGTGGTCCAATTGGAGTGTGAGACTCCCTTAGGACTGAGGTGTAATGGCTTTGGAAGGGGTAAAAAGAGCTAGGGACCTGAACTGGTCACAGGAGATTCTGAGATAGTAATGGGCTGGTTAAAGGAAGACAAGGAGGGTTTTTGGAACCGTGGGCATTTATTCAATAAACGCTGCCACATAGGTGCCACTTCAGCAGTTCCCCTCTCATGCTCTTCCGTATGCATCGAGAATAGCAAAAGGTGACTTTGGTTTCTGTGCACGCCTACTGTTCGGGGAAATTTTTTAAAGCTTCCCCCAACAGTTAGGCACTTTTTCACTGTTATGCTGATGTAGTGTGTAGTGGTGCCTAGTTGTCATAAATGGTTGTAATTATTACCTTTCTCGGTTTTAGCAAATAAAGTACAAACATTGAATGAAAAAACGTAAACGGAACCAAACACATACAAGATCAGCTCTGGAACTACAGCAATGAGAAGAGGGTTTAAGTGGCTGACAAAGGACATTGATGTAAAATGTATTTGGGAAAAGGGAAGTGCAAATTCTTTTGCTGATGGACTAGCTAGGCAAGGGGTGCATAGGGATTCTATTTTCTGGGCTTATTTGTAACTGTATTTTCTTTCTTTTAAATGTTTTTTCTGCACCCATGGGGAGCTAAGATAGTTTATCTCCCCTCCGTTGTACACTTGTACTTTACCTCTTATATTAATGAAATGTTCCTGTTATTGACAAAATAACATTTTTCGTATACCAGGTTGAATATTCATCATATTCCTCCTTAGGTTCCTTATTTTTTCTCATTAATATACCCCATGAAATCCCGGGAAGTGATGAACAACTTGGCTAAGATTGACCATTCTCTGAAATTGTACTCATCTAGTAGCACACTGGTTATATTTTAATCTGTGCAGAGTGTGCTTATCAAGTTTGGAAGTCCTCCCAACAGGTCAGTTGTCCTTAGAAGACACTTCTCCTGAAGCCAATGATACTTCTGTTCTAGAAACTCACCAACTGCTGCTGTTACACCAGAATCAACTTGTAAACTGCTGAAGAAGCCCGAAGCTAAAAAGACCATTCCCAGCAACAAAAAACCAGCTTAAACACTCTTCTCAGACCACCTGTACCACCTAGAAACTTGAGGAAACCTTTTTACTGCAATCGGCTGCACCAGCAACTTGATTCCAGAACTAATCTAGGACTGTCTACTCAGTCCTCCTTCTGGTTCTGTTCTAAACAGATCTCTCTAATAGTGAAATGGCTATTGGCTGTACTCCCAAAGAGAAACAAAAGAAGAAGATAGAAGAAAGAGGAGAAGTAGTAATTTGGAAATTGCAGAAGTTGTCTTGTTAGTGCTCTTATACCATGTTTGCAAACCTGCAACAGAGTTTAGAACCAAAGAAACAGAAAACAGAGAGGAGAGAAGAGAGTAAATCTGTACATGGGTGGCAAGTGTGTTTTCAGCCGGCCCTAAAACAGTATTTATATTAAGGGGCTAATTATACACAAAAGACCGATCTGCCCCTGATTAGTGAAGGGACACAGACAAAAAATGAAAGAGCTAATTCATGCCCACTACAGAAATAAATCTATGGCAAAGAAGAAGAGGCCCACCAACAATCATGCATTACAACAATGGAGTTAGTAGGACAGGACTCGTGTATAGGGGTGCTCATGGTTTGGTTAACCGAACTGTGACCATCTTTTTTTTTTTGAAACTGAACCAGACCAATTGGTTTTCTAAAAATTTGAACAGAAACCGAACCGAAGATAATGGTTAACTGCTTAACCAGTTAACCGCTTTTTGGGTTCTTGGTTTTTTATTATAGTGTAATTTTCAATCGCAAAGGCTGGGCTGCTGAGTTGGGATTGAAATCTTGCCGGTTGTGGAAAGGCCATTCATTGTAATGAACACTTGTTTCCTCATCGAATTAATTTTTTTCCTTATTACCATAATTCGTTAAAATTTTCTCTGTCCAGAATTTTTGTTCTTCAAATTAAAAGAAAGGAATGCAGATAATGAAAAAATGAGAAGTAAAATATGGTAGATTTTCAATGAGAGAGAAAAAAAGAAAAGCATCAAAACTAGTTTAGAGTAGAGAGAGGAGGATGGGATTGTTTCCTGAAATTGAGAGAGTAACCCACTTTGTAATGCGCTGCTGTGGTAGATTAGCATTTTGGCACCACCGCACCAGTGAGCCAGCAACCAGCACTGTGTGCTGTGGTGGATGTTTGCGAAACAGAGTTCAGAGGAGAAGAGAATGCAAACCTTTGTTCATTGTTACAGAACAGAAAATAAAGTTGGGCTCATGGTTATGGCTTCTCAGCTGTTGAATCCTCTTTGTTGGGAAATGGCAATCGAAATGAGTGTTGAGTGTGAAAGATTGGGAACAGGATGAAATATTGATTTTCAATTTTCATGGATGGGGGGACGAATTGGATTTGTGAGAGGTGGGAATTTCAAGTTTTCACTTTTCAGAGATAGGGGGCCATCACATGGGGGGACGAATGGAATTCAGGTGGGGATCTCAAGTACACTTTTCAGAAATATGGCCATAGGAAAATTATAATATCTATGAATTATTACTATTAAAACATATATATTGATAGTATTATGTATATACCATATGGTTCAGTTAACTGCTGGTTTTTCTTATAGGTTAACTGAAACCAAACTGAATCAATTTTTTAAGAAAAACCAAACCGATCGGTTTAGTTATCTGCATTTTTCGGTTTGGTTTTTCGTGTTCGGTTTGCTTTTTTGGTTTCTCGGTTTTTCATGATCATCCGTGCTCGTGTAGTTCACCTCAAATAGTTGGGATTGGTACTGAGTTGAGTTGAGATTAAAGAATGTAGATTTATAGGATCATTTTTTGTATGGAACTCGTTTTTGCAGATGTACAAAACGGTCATTTTTATATCTGTACTTTATTTCTGAGTGTATATGACTTGTGCATTCATTGTCTTCTATTATTTGGTCATGCGCCCAATAGATTCTATAGAGCTTTAGTTAATTGCAGAATTCAATTTTCTACATAATCCAGAATGTTCTCTTTCTACAACTGATATTTTTAGCATACATGAAGTTGTACATTGTTGCACATGCCAATTCTCTTTCTTTTAGTTCTAATTTAAGATTTATAATTGACTTCTCTTTTCAGGTTAAGCAGTTGACAAATAATATCTCATTTATATTGGATGCAGTACGAAGTTCTACCATTGTGGAAGTACAGGTACATTTCTGCATACAGTTATTTCGTTTTGGTTTGGGTGGTGACACCTTGTCACCTAAGATGTTGTACTTCGTTTTATTCTTAAACAAATTTGTTCTTTATTTGTCTTCAAAAAATGGTTTTATTGGTTTTAGAAATTTGCATCATATGATCTCATTGATGGGTCTACATGAAGGTTCAGCACTTGAACCTTTTTATTTGTACTGATCATAGATGAATTGATTACATGTTTGGGAGGTTCCATGGTGCTTGTTGTTTGCTGATGACATTGTTTTATTTGATAAAACTAATAAAGGATTAAATGCAAAATTAAGTTAGACAAATACCTTGAAAACAAGAGGTTTGAAAATAAGTATGACTAAAACATAATATATGCTATGCGGTTTTATTTTTCATAACCCCCCAACCCAGGTGCAGGCAGGATTCAATCCTAAGTCTCTGCTATGATCATCAGGAGACCTTACAAACCTGCTGGTTGGCACCTTGCAATATATGCTATGCAAGTTTAATAATAATAGGAGTGCAAATTAGGGTACACTTAGGATTGGGGACCAAAAACTAACTCAATGTGACCTTTTCTAGTACCTCTTGGTTTGTTCATAACTAGGCAGTGATTGAGAATGTTACCCATAGGATTAGTCTTATGTGATAGGTGGATACTACAGGAAAAGTATATAAAACAGTTGTAAGGCCAGTTATGCCATATGGAGTAGAGTGTTGGGCAGTCAAGAAACCACATGGAGTCATTTGAAGGAACCTAGGAACCTAGGAGTAGATCCAATATGTGATAAAACTGAGAGAAAATAGACTAAGATGATTTCGTCACATGCATAGAAGACCACCTACAGAACCTATAAGAAGCAATTTATTACTAGTTGAAGGGGCTAGAAGGGTTTAGGGGCAGACCAAAAAGGAGGGTCATACTAAGAAAGGATTTAAGTGCTCATAATTTAACAAGGATAAGGCTTAGATGATGATGATCCAATATTTGCATCATGTTGGTGTAAACAAACCTAAAGTAATATAAATTGTATTTGGGTGGTCTTAAAACCTTGGTCCACATGATTTTGTCTTGGAATTGTTTTGGTGCAAGATGATGTTTTACAGGATGGAGAGTGTGGTAATAACACTCAATATTTTTTTATTAATAAAAAATTCGTTATTTTTGGCTAGCAAGATGTTAAATCATGCCCCTTTAGGTCTTTAGTTGCTCATATTCATATATTTAAGTTTGCTTTTCCTTCCTCTTGCAGGGTGACAAAATAAGGAAGCGCAATGAGTGGATGAATTGGCCACTGCCACCGTATGGTCAATTTGCCACTGCCTCAGGTTCCCAGTCACCAAGTATACCTAGCTATGATATGCTGGCAACCCGTGTCCAGAATATTGGACTAGATGACGGGAAGGGTACCAACCACAGTAATTTGACAGAGTTCCATACTGAGGCCGTCATAAGTAGATCATCATCTGGGGAGTTGAATATGCAGTCACAGACAAACATTGAGAAGGGTACGGGTGATATCACCATTCAAGTGAGCTCTGATAAGTTCTAGCAAGAATGAATGAGGAAGCATACTTGTTTTTTTCTCTTTGGAAGGGAGGTAGCGTGTGTGTGGGATGCAAAAATGGGCGTCAGAAACTCCCATGACATGACAGAGTGGCAAGATCTCTCAAGAGGAAAGAGGAGAAAATAAAAATAAAATGGGAAAAGAAATAGAAATTATTAAAAAAGGAAAGAGACCGAAAGGAAAAGCTTAGTTTCTGAATTATGAGCTAGTAGTGACTTTGTGAGGTTATTGGGATGTATAGTTTGGTTTGGTGTGGATTAATGGTATCTTTGTTTTTTTCTTGAGGTGGTTTCTTGTGGCATGATTGGGTTTTGGAATGGGGAGCAAATTTTGAGGTCATTTCCCTTGCCAGCCCTCATCTTATTGAAAGTTTTGGGTTGCATTACATTCCATTTTGCGGGAGAATTATTTGGATTTATTAGTCCTTCGGAAGAAAGGGTTGGGTGGGTACACTGCCAGATGCTACTGCTACTGCTAAATTTCCCATTGGCCTCTCTCTCTCTCTCTCTCTCTCTTGTTTCATTTTTTTGCCCTCTACTGACGCATACATGGTACTTAGCATTACATTCATATATTTATACCTTTTCTTCAAGACTGGTTGAAGATTTTACTGCATAAAAGTACCCCTAACACATGCAAAGGGGAACCTTTTTTTCCTGTTAGATTGGAGTTGGACATGGATGGCTGGATCTATATTATTGGTCTGAACTTAGAAATTACTGGTTGGATTGATTACAGTTCTTAAATGGTTTGATATCTCTGCGTGTGATCTATATTTGCAGGTTCTTGAGTAGTCAACCCCACTTTGGAGGGGATTGTTTTCCTTGTGATCATTCTCTATGTTTCCATTTGATTAATTCTTTTTATAACCACGGGGCGGGGGGGGGGATTTATCATGCTTACCTACGGAAGGATAAACCTGGATTCTGATGGTATTGACATTTACAGGGGACTAGATTGTCCGGATATGGAGGTTGGAACTGCTAGAAACAGGATTGTAATATTGGTTCAGATGGCTGATGTGTTTATTTTTGTTTGGGTGTTGCTGGCCCTTGTTCTTTGTTTCTAGCAAATCTGGAATCCTTGTGGGTCTTCGGATCTGCTACCAATAAAAAAACACTACCTGCAGCCCTGCAGCATATTGGGAACACCAAATGTCTCCAATATGCGGCGGCTATAGCATCTCCAGTCGACTATATGATTTCATTACTGTACTAGTGGATGGGTTATGCGTCGGGATAGTCGGATAGAGCATGGATGCGATTTTATTGAAAGTTGATGACTCTCTCGTCAGCTAACTTCCTTACATGCGTAATTTGAGAGTTGGGCTTCTGTCAGGGCAAGGTGCTCGCACCGTTCGAGCGGCCTCCTGCAACCCTTATTGTATCTGATGTGAAAGTGAAACGACTTGAAGTTGACATGTTCGGAAGTCGGAACCCATCTAAAGACTGGTTCCGAATTTCTAGCCATCTTCCGATGTGGTTATAATGATACTTTGTTCTGTTCTGTGATAAGCTAATTCGGTCACCTGATGTGCACATTACAAGAGATGGGCAGCTTCTCTTCTACATCTTCTAAGCTTTTGAGGGAAGCCGGAAATTTGAGGCAGAGTACGAATTGCAATTCTTATATCCCATAGGCTAAATCACTCGTGGTCCAATTTGGCTAAATTTGTAGCCATTAGCCATGTGACAGATCAGAATTGCTCATATTAAAAGTTCGTTGGGAATTTTCAATGGACAGTGTCAGAGATTGTTGTGAAACTCATGGCTAACGGAAGGATGAATTCTACTGAAGACTTGAGATAACCCTTTGGCCATGTTGGGACATTGATGAATCGCCCATGGGGGGATGTATCATTTTCTTTCTAATTATTCGAAACATCAATGCTGTACATGTGTTGTATTATTCGCACACCCACCTCACAAGTTGCAGCGACACATCAGTCAGCTCCCATACTTGCATGTTTTCATTGATTAGGAGATGCTCCCAATGCACGGCTGCAAGTGCTGTGATGTGGATTTGAGGACCATAACCATTCTGTGAGGACTGAGGAAATCCAGGTTTCTTACATAATAATATTAGTATGGCGAATATGCCCTTGGCAGCCAAGCCCACAAACGATGATGTTACTCGCCAATCTGAAGGATCAATGTGGGGATGCTGCTTGAAAGCCCTAGAAATTAAACAAGTTCCAAATGACTGAAGGAAAGAAGAAGAGTTATTAAATGTTGGAATATATAGTCCTCCTTGAACTCCGAACCCTCTACCCCAACCACTGTTTAGGGCGGTATTTGATAACAAATCTCCGAAGGGACTTTACTGGTTGGATCACGTTGTTCAGAATTCGGATTTGTCTTCACAAAACCATTCTCACACATCCTCACAGCCTTTTACAGCCATGCATTGGAAATATCGTGATCAGACTTGTTCATGGACCGAGCTTGAACTTGGCTGTTGCCAAATTTTGAAGGGGCTTGGCCCGAAACCCGAGCCTGACATAGTATAAAGTCAGGTCCAAAGCCCGGCCCATGAACAAGTCTAATTGCGGTATTCCAATGCACAACTATAAGGAGCTGTGAGGATGGTCTTGTGAGAATAAAATCCGACGAACAAGTTGATAGTTTATTCTTGATCATAGATGATACTCAGGAGCTCCATTTCTAGAAAAAAAAAATGTAACAATATCATTGCCGGATGCATTGTTGGATGAGCTGTGTTACTGCTCAGGCTGTCGAAGTAGGACAGCCAAAATTTTCTTAAATTTGTATAATTCCAGCTCAATTACTAAGGATACAATACAACAAATGATATTTTCTATTTTGTGTTGGTGATTATAGAAGCCTGCAGGCATAGTCAGACTTTGTTAAGGTTGTTGAAGCTGTTAAGATTACTCAGTCCCAATCTTCTCTAACCATGGTTAGCAGGAGAGGATCCTCTGTTGGTCCAATAAGATATTGTCGACTCAGTGGGCCAAAGTTAAGTATTAATCCATATTGTTATCAATTAATTAACATTATTTTTTTTGGTATTGCATAATATTACAGGGGGACTTTGGGGTGGGTGTAGCGGAGGAGGGTACACGTTAGATTCACTTACCTTAGAGAAAAAATTGGCTGGTTCGAGAGCCTCCAGTGTATGACACCATATCACGAGTGCGGGTAAGAAAATATTTACAGTTAATATTTGGCAAAATCTATGGTGTATTCTATGGATTTATGCTCCAATATAACTCAAATGTAAATAAAAAATCGAAAAATCAGAGCGACATTTTTAATGTTGTTAAAATCTTTAATGGTAAATACATTTGTAAAACATGAAAGCAAGGTTCGAAATTTTGATACGTATCATACCGTATCGGTTGATACGTTTTGTATCGGGAGCCTTCTGATACGTCTCTACAAGGAGTGTTTCGGGGTTTAACTTGGTTTAAGGGGTAGAAGGGCCTTAAACTGACCCCTTTGAACTAGGTTCACAAGGAAAAAAAGAGTAACGAGGGCCGATATAGCCTGATATGCCCCTATCGGCGTATCGGGCTGTATCGATATTTTGAACCTTGCATGAAAGCATACCTTGTGTGGGGGTGGCAAATGGGTTCGGTTGGGTGTGGGTTGAGTACCAACCCACCCATATTGACCCACTAACCCATTTTCCACTAGGGGTGCAAATGGATTGTATCATGATCCAATCTGATCCTATATTGTCAGATTTGGATATCCCTATTTTGGATTTTTGGAACGTAATGAATAATCAGATCCAATTAAAAATCAGAAAAGTACGGACATGCCCAATGCAGATTTCTGATTTCCACTGTAGAAGTATAAACATTCAAAATGTCAAAACCCCCCACTCTACACACCAATGCCCACCCGTGAATTGGCATCAATTCCGAGCTGGCACCCACTCCAACTGTACTTTTGGGCCTAAAATTTCTTACCTCTGTCATTCTCCCATTAAAAATCGAATTGGATTCAGATCACCCTTATCCGATCCTATATATAATATTTATTTATATATAATTTATATTTATATTATTTATTTATAAATTTGTTATTTATATTGCATTTTTGTAAAATTTTTATATTATTTATTTTTTTTATAAAAACATATGTATATATGATGAAAATAGTTGAAAAAATACATGTATTTTTTGTTTTTCTTTATTTAAAATGTTATATTTTCTTTTCCTTTTAATGATTTATTAATTTTTTAAAAATTAAATCAGATCTAACATCTTGATTGGGTTCAAAATTAAATTAGTATTTATGAAATCTGATCGGGTCAAATGAATCAAATCCAATCTGATTCATTTGACCCACTCTAACCTGACCCACACATTTGACCCTCTAATTCAGATTAAACTTTTCCTAACCTTTTCCCTATTCTAACTCATAAAATCATATTACTATATACTTCAACTAAAAAAACATAAAATGTTCAATTTTTTTCAAAATAGAAATTGTAAAAAAAAAATAGAAAATTGCAGAAAAAAATAGAAAAGTTGTAGGAAAATTCAGAAAAGCGAAAAAAGTTGCAGAAAATAGAAAATGCATAAAAAAGAAAAATTTCAAATAAATAACCAAAAAATACAAGAAAGTGTAAAATTACAGAGAAAAACACAAAATAGAAAAATATAGGAAATTAATAGAAATTTTAAAAAAAAATCAGAATACATAGCACATAACATAATAAAAAAAGAGCATAGAGACACATATTTTATCTATAATAGGAGAAATTGTAGAAAAAACATAAAAAAAGGTATTAAAAAATTAAATACAATTATATTTAGAAATCATAAAAAGCATAGAAATGAAAATTATTATAAAATCTTCAAAATAAAATTATATCCAAATAAATAATAGAAATTGCAAACAATACATAAAATAGTCAAAATGCATCCAAAAACTAGAAATTACAGAAAATATAAAAAAGCTTAATAATAAAAAAAAATATAAATTTCAACAAAGTGTTCACGTCTTCAATGGCTGTATCGGATGTTTGGAATTTCTTTGCGGGAGGGACAAAAATATTTATCGGAGAATTTCGAGGCAAGATTTGGGATGGGACAAATTTCTTAAATTATCTTATGGTTTAGTTAAATGACTAATTTTACCCTTACTGTCCGTTAACTTTCTGTCACTATGTTCGCATGTAACAGCTGATAGGTAATGTTTTTAAATTCCTAAAATACCCTTCTTATAACCTGTTCATCGTCCTCAAGCTTGAGACTAAGAGTGGCGGTGACAAGAACCCCTTCTCCTTCTGATTACTCTCTGTCCTCTCACTGTCTCCATCTTTACCTTTTTCCCATCTTCCTTTCCCGCCTCAGGGCCTCTGTTCAACGGTTGCATCCTCCCCAACTGGCGAAGATGTTGGCATTGTCCCTTTCGTATCACCATCCAGCGTTGTTCAAATCAGGGAGGCCTCAGTCGATTAATCTGAAAAGAAAATGTTGAACTTGAGTTCTCTTCTAGGAAGATCTACTTTTCAGCCAGGAACGTCAAGTAGATCTGCCTGGATCCCAGGCTGGCCATCCCTCCACCGTTTGTCATCCCTCCCTCCCCTGTTTTATTAAGCTTTTTGCTACTGTTGGTGTTTCGTTTTGGGTTTTCTAGACTACCCTGTGGTCGACTAGTTGATCTTCTTTTCTTTTCTGAGGTTTTCTTCTTGTTTTTGGTTTTGTTTGAACGATTTCAGATTGACCCATCTACACCAGTGAGGCCTTTATTTCTGGGTTCTTTTAAAAATTCCAAGTT